CAAGATAGATTGTACCTTGATGTCATTGATTACTATGAATGCAATGTTTTCTGTAATGGTATATAAGGGATTGTAAGACAGAACAAGGGAGTAGTAGTAGAGGTAGTGGTAGTAGTAGAAGTAGTAGTAGTAGTGACAAGAATGGGGGAGAAGAAGGAATATGAGATGGAGAGGAGATGAGACAAGAATGGAGGGAGGATAGAGGGAGTAATGGAGAGAATGGAAGCTAGTAAAGGGAGCAGAAGAGGGGAACAGAAGAAGGGAGCAGAAGAGGTGAGCAGAAAAGGGGAGCAGGAGAGGAGAGAAGGGAAGCAGGAGCCAGGGGAAGGGAGAAAGGACGCACAAGATATGAGCAGGAGAGCAAGGGAGTAAAGAATGAGCGGGACAGTAAAGAATGAGAGAAGTAGAATATTAGAGTAGCCATAGAAATAATAATAATAAAGCATGTAATGAGAAGATTTTGAATTTATTATGGCCTATGACTCCGTAATCTGCCGACGCCGCATACGCTTTCGAAAAAACCCTGGAATAAGTCTGCTGGGGCTGGCTCCCGGCAAAAGGGATGGAAAAACAAGGAGGGTAGGGGACACTTAGGCATGTTTGCATGAGCTAAATGGGATGGAGGTAAAGTGATATATACTCATCCTTGGAACAACAGGGCTCTGTGATATAGGGATTGAGGCATAATCTGAATGGGTAAAAGAGGGGAAATGATGTTAAGATGCTTGACTGTCTTATGAATGTTGGTTTCCCTTTCCTACTATTGTAAAATAGACATTTGATTGGGATAGACAAGAATATTGGTAAACATGATTACAGAAAACTTGTAATTCTGTCTTCAGCCTATAACTGATTTGAATAACTAAAAGGGGTTCTAGAACTTGCACAGTGAATTAGGCTTCTTGCAGAGCTATTGTAGTTTACAGGACCATAGGTGGAATCCTGAGCCCCATCCAGAGCCTTCTGAGGTGGGACATTTCCACTTGAAAGGACATGAAGACCAACCTGGAGTGGCTAGATGAACAGAAGATACTTATTGAAAGAAAGACCAGCAGGAAAAATTGAAAATAAAAACTGCAAGTTGTTCACCAGGGAGCCATCAAGGCAAGTAATCAAGTCCCTTCAGGACAAAACCCACTCCAAGACTGAAACCCAAAGGGATTATATGAGCAGACATGTAAGCTTGCTGGTGGCCATGTTGGTCTACTGGTGAGTGGAAGAGCGGGGAAGGCAGCAATGAAGATATGGGCTGAGTTCGACCATCTTCTATAGACTCCTGCTGACATGGAGATGAGAGAGAGAAGAGGAAGAGTTAGTTGATCTGAAGTGTGGTGAGACCTAAGGAATCCTAAGTCTAAGGGCAAGGCCCTAGCCATAGAAGGCTAGAGCCAAGAGTGAAGTGTCCCACTGATATGAGGTGAGGAGAGACGCACAAGAACACCCAAACTTGCAGAACTATCTGACCTAGCTTCCATGGCTTGATGGTCAGAAGTTGAATGTTGTTTTTGTTAGGTGCCATTGAGTCAGTACCAACTCATAGTGACCCTATGTACTACAGAACGAAACACTGCCCGATCCTGGGATAGGGGAAGGTAACGAAATTTGATAAAGGAAACAAGTGTAAATTGCTACAATTTGATGAACTTGACCTTATGGATGTAGTAGCTGAAAATACCAACTGAGAGTGAAGGAGTCTTCATATCAAGGATCAAACCTATCCCTTCTGTACACAGGGTTGGTAGGGATGGGCAACTTAGACATTTGCTACCTAGAATGCAGGGAGTATAAAAGCATGAAGTCACTGGCTTACAAGTTTTCAAGAGTGAATTTAGTTTCAGAGTGCACAGGGG